ATCAAAAACTAATCAAATCTGCACATATGTTCAGAGCATCTATGTACCAAGTTTCATCAAAATCCAATGAGTGGTTCTTTAGATATCAGTGGAACAGTCGGACACACATACACACACACAGACACACTAATTGCAAAGACTCCCATTATGTGCTTCGCATATGGGAGTCAAAAAACAAGATGGCTGCAAATTGGTCATTTTGGATTTGAACAGGAAACAAATCATCATGATCATGTATCTCAACATATATAATGTTTGTATCAAATTTTACCAAAAAACGACAAATCCTGTCTCAGAAACCACATTTTTCAAACAACAAGATGGGGGCCAATCGATCATTCTTTAACTGATTATGAAATAAACTGACATGGAAATGTATTCCTCTTATATGTATGATATATGTGCCAAATATGAATGGTCCTTAAGCCTTGGAGATATAGCAGTATGATCAAAAAGCAATATGGCCGCCTTCTTTGATTTGATTTGAACTGACAAAACATGCATAAGATACCACATTTTCAAAACACAAAATGGCTGCCAGTCGGCCGGCAATCTTTCATTACGGGAACAACCCATTAAAAGAGTGTAACTTCACTTCCTCACTTGGTTATCAGTTTATGATCAGGACATTAGTCTTATTTAATTAGTTATAACGATTGTTATCTTATGCCACATAACAATGTGTAAACAAATGTGTACTGACTGAAACTACTTTTAGACATCGATTGACCTGCCAGTTTAGAAAATCACGTGGAGTACGCGTTTGTATTACTATAGCACGATTGTACAGTAATCATAAACATTTTTCGTGATCATGTAAAATAAGTCAATAGAACAAAATAAACGGAAAAGAGTACGAGTATTACTCTCAATTACAAGAGTTTTCTGGCGCACCATATCAGGCGAGACACATCATAACGTTTCGTCCACCCTGGAAAAATCACTTTCGTGTTATCGTCTGCCTGGATTTGTCGTACTTTGGCGACTGCCCGCCAGCTCGATGATGTCTCCCTGTTTATATGTGAAAGTGGCCATACTGATACATTTACGGGAAAAATTAGCAAATCATGTACGCTTCTATAAAGTTCGACGAAATGCCGTAACTGAAAATTCAACTGGACACCAGTTGTTTTTATAAGACTAAGACTGCATAAAGGTCACATTTGCATATCCCTACGCGTAAGAGCGAAGTGAAGAGGCCGTTCCAGATTGAATACTCATGTTAAAATATGACGATAATGAAAACTCCACGGAGCTCTAAACTAAATAACATTTTCAACAGTATATTTATTGTCACAAATATAGAGTATATAAAGAACACATCGTGAAAAACAAAAAAATAGTTCCACGCGTAAGAAAGTATTTATGAGTACTTCGTCTCAGGCATTGCCCTCTAATCTAGCTTATCTAACTTTTTTACGACCCATATCCAAAAAAAGTAAACAAACTCCGGATGACGTTGACATTTTATCGCGCCCAAGTAACTGCCTCAGCAACTCAGGTTTTTTGTGGCTAGGTTATTAGCGTGTTGTTCCCATATTGTGATCCAATCACGAAATAAATTATCATAGACATGCATCCTAAAATGTATAATGTATGTACCAAATTTAAACAAAAAACTGACAAAGCATGATATCATAAGATATCACATTTTCAAAAGAGGGAATGGCTGCCAGTAAGCCATCTTGGATTGAATCAGTAAACCACTGCATGTGCATATGTCTAATTAAAAAAGTCATAACAGCAACCATGGTAACATGACGCCCCATCATCATAATGTATTGGTTGAGTGATATATTCTACTGGTATATAGTCTTGGATATATTTTTAGTTCAAGGGCCAGCTGTGAATGGTATTTAACTAAATCTGATTAAGGTAGCGGGACTGTTACATGTGTAACAAAGGTCTAATTGAGGATGAAATGCA